ATTTTTATTTAGAAGGCAAAAAAAGTTATTAGTCCTTTTATTTAGAAGAAAAAAAAGTTATTAGTCGTTTTTTTAATTTTGTGAACATTAAGCATAACATATTCCGGCAATATATCTCAATAAAGCTAATTCACCAGCTAATGTTTCTTTTCCAGTTGGAACAATTTGATCTTCCGGTAACAAAAATCCATATTCACCTAATTATCAAGAATTTAACAATATTTTCGTTTTCAAAAAAAAAAACAAGAAGATACTCTGCTTACCAGTATCTCGAAGTTCGACAGCATAGCTAAATGTTATATTAGCTTTGCCAAATGTCCAATCGACTGCATTACCCGATGCAATATAAATAGTTGAACCTATGTTACCATGCTCATATTCAGTACCTTGAAGAAAAACTATTTTATATCAAAACTTTGCAATTAATACTTACCAAAAACTGCACGAAGTGCTTGAACAGCTTTAGCTGATCCATCATCTTGTAATTTAAATTGTTCTGGTTTTGTTAACGTATAAGCTAATGAGAAAAATAATTAAGCAAAAAAAACACTTAAATTAATAATTTGAATGTTAATATTTACCCCATGGTGACATCCATAATTGTGAATAGGCATGAAAGTTAATATAATGTACAAATATACCATTATGTGTACTGATAAATCTTGATACTTGTGCAGTTTCAATTTCTGAAAATGGTTTACTACCACAAAAAGTACCAGAACATGGATCATGTGTAGCACCACCTATAAAAACATCATAAGAATAAATTATAGGATAAATAATAAATAAATAAATAAATACAAACTATTTACCTTCACACCAGTGATAATCCCAATTACGATTTAGATCAACACCAATACAACCAGACTCTGATGTGTTACTTCGATTTTTACGATATAATCGATCTAAAAACAACGTTCGTTTTCAAAATTCTATATGATTTTCTACTTTACTATTCGTCCATGTATATGCATAACCGTCCGGATTAAAGACAGGTAAAATATAATAATCGAATTGATCTACGAAATACGTAATTACTGGATCTTTATCGTAATTTGATAAAAGAGCATGAACCATATAAATAATCGTTGCTGAACTAATCCATTCTCGAGCATGAATACCTGAGGAAAAATATTTTCAAAAAAATCTTACAGAATAAAACAAACTTAGTGTTTACCTCCATCCCACCAAACAGCCTTTTTTTTATTTACTGGAGTACCATCAACCTTAACTGCTCTTTTATTAGACGATATTTTTAAACCTTTCATCTCACGTTTTTCATACGATTTTCCAACTTTAAACGGTGTAGCTAATTTAGGATATGTTTTAACCATTTTATCAATCCATGCATGAATTTCTTCAATTGGATGATATTTATCATATGCAAAATCATCAACAAATACAGATGACGGTTTTAATTTATGAATTAAGTTTTGTCTTTCAATAACAGCATCAATATCTTTCATAATAACGTCGTATTTTATTTTCATATCATCTGATGATAAAAATTCAGCAAAACTATTGATAGATTCAGGTGCTATACTAACATCAATCTAATTAAAAGAACGAAAGAAAGAAAGAAAGAAAGAACTATACGTATATGATGACTACAATAATTGACTTATAAAACGTACCGGCATATTCGTGCCATAGTTGTTAGACCAAAAGTCAATATTCTTTTGATATGCTGTATGACTAAAATCAAGTAATTTAGCACCTTGTTCATTATTTGTAACATATAAACGCCATAATTGATACCGTGAATACGCTTTCAAAGCGTAAACATTTGAATTAATAGTCGATAATAAAAAAATAGCGACAAAATAGTGAGCCAACATCTTCATATCTATAAGAGCAAAAAATATGAAACAGACAGTTACTATCAGTATGAATACTTTTTTAAGGGAAAGGAATTCAGTTGGTTGCCGATGATCTGCTTCTTATGAAAAATAGATCGATTTTTGGTCACTGATAAATTGTCAACTTTTTTGTTTCTTTCAAATTTTAAAAGTGTTCGTTTCAGATTTACCGTGAAAAACTGGATACAGAAAGATCATTAATGACGCTATTCAAATATATTATGATCAGAATTTAAGTATCATAAGAATAAATGGGTCCAAATTTCGAATGAGCATTTTGTAATACTATCTAGTTTTTTCTTTACATGTCGTCTTCTCATTGGCGAACATGAACTCAAAATTCAAAACTGTTAAACTCAATTTCATGTGTTTTTTCAATCTAAACTATTAAAATAGGAAACAATCTTAGATTCTAGATTTTCGTTGTTCAAATTCTTAAAAATTCATTTATATTAATTTCAAAAATATTTATTTTATAGCGTAAATTATCTTTAAAAAATTAACCGAAAATTTGAAATTTTCGTTTTTGAAATTGACAAAAAGGTTACATAACAATTTTAATAAAACTTACACCTTCAGTTTTACGATTAACTAGCTGCAGTTTATAGAGTTCAGTATATATTGAGATTCACTATTTCTATTTAATGAGCTGTAATTTGTAGAGCGTACTGAACTACTGCTCTTTTATTTTTTCTTCTCATGTGGAACAGTAGGATGTCGGTATGCTTGTGGCACGACAAATTGGTACGCGTAGCGCTCTCACACGGAGTTCGCGTACCAAGCGTGTGGAATGTGTACCCAAAGCATTCCTCCAGTATGGCGTAAGCATGCCGTGAAGAGCATCGACGCACTTTGAGAATAATTCTATTGGTTAATTTCTGCAAGCCAATCATATTTTAGAAATGCTTTTTTTCGCATACGTTTTTGCCTTTAAAAAATGTTTGTTGCTATTTTGTATCGTCTTATTTCCTTTTTAAGACTGCATTTATTTAGAAAAAAACGAGAAAAAATTTTACAAAAAAGATCACAGTTTGTTTTGTTACTAAGTTCAATACCATCTCTTCCGATAGAACAACACAATCATAGATACAAGCATAAAAATAAGCGTAATTGAAAGACTGAGCTTTTCCTAATCGACTCTTACTATTGGAATCTTCGGGAAGTCCACGCAAATTCACGAAATTCCTGGGGAATCCGTGCCGGGAGTCCCGGGGAGTCAACCAAAATAAGAAAAATTTTGTGATGAAATCTCTGTCGGTAGTGCCAAGAAGTCAAGCAAAGAGCAAGAAAATCTTTTGGGAGTTCTTCGAGGGAGACCTGAAGGATCACTAGGAATTCCCCAGAAAGCCGCCAGGCATTCTTCAGGGACTCTCTTCAAGAACTCCTCGAAGGAGTTTCTTGCTTTTTACTTGACTTTCTTGGCACTCCCAAGAGAGATTTCATCACAAACTTTTCTTGCTTGCTTGACTTCCAGGGGATTTCGTGAATTTGCGGCGACTTTCCGAGGATTTCAATAGTGAGAGTCGATTAGGGCAAAGATAGACTCGGTACCGGTCTGGGTTTGGGATCGACCGGTTTATTGGTCGAAACTGCCGTATACCGGTCGATATTTTTCATTTTCCTGCCCAGTGAAAAAATGTTAGATTATAGAAGATTTTAGTAGATTATAATCGGATTTTTCTGCAACAAAATCAAAGTTATAATTGATTGAAATCTCCGAAATCAACAATAATTTGATTTTTAATCAAACAATAATCTTATAAATCCAGTATAATTTGGATTAAAATCGTATCAAATCAAGATTATATGATTTTAATCAAAACTACACGATTTTAATCCAAATTATACTGGATTTATAAGATTATTGTTTGATTAAAAATCAAATTATTGTTGATTTCGAAGATTTCAATCGATCATAATTTTGATTTTGTTGCAGAAAAATCCGATTATAATCTACTGAAATCTTCCGTAATCTGATATTTTCCACTGGGTGTCCTATGATGATATTCATATGAAAAAAACAACTGGCACCGAGACTACTTCCACTGATCACACAGGAATTTATTTAAGAAAAAACAGTTTTCAGAATGCTCATCAGTGAGACTATTGTTATTAACGGTGGAACATTATACCAGTAGGCGTGAAAGTACGAGGGTAGCCCGCAAGAGAGTTCACTATGAAACAAGGTTTCATTTCAAGCCTCAGGCTGTTGTCTGTAGATCGATATTTTGTCGGTAGGTCGAATTTTCTCTTATCAACTGACGTATCATCAGCATCCTGTTTAGTACCGGAAGGCTAGTTTGGGTTGATGGACCGGTCAGATCAACTTTTTCCGATAAATCGGTTTTGCTCGGTAAACCGGTTTGGACCGGTCGGACCGGTTTTTACTGGTAGACCGGTTCTACCTCTGGCGGGTGATACATTAAAAGGAAATTTCAGTGTAAGAATCGATGTATTATTGGTAAGCCACTTTCACCGGTCCGGTCTGATTTTTTTGGACTGGTACAGGTGCCGGTCTGAAAAAACTAGACCGGTTCCATCTCTGGATTAGGGTTAAAAAATTTTTTTAAATCAAAACAAACTAGGGATGCAACAAATTGTTATTTTTTGTACAAAGATTGAAAATTTTCTGAATGAAAACCCACCAAATTCAACCAAATTTTCGTGTCAATTATAATCAGTTTTAATTGCTCTTTCTAATACTGATATTTAGTTACCAAATCCATACTAAATCTTGCATAGAATTTGGTGCGATTTGTTAAATATATCGCCATTTTCACCAAATCCTGTCAAATCTTACGCAAGATTTGGTAGAGATTTGGTAAATAAATACCGTTATCAGAAAGAGCGATTAAAACTGATTATAACTGAGACAAAGATATAGTTGGATTTGGGGGGTTCTCATTCAGAAAAATTTCAATCTTTGTACAAAAAGTAAGGATTTGTTGTATCCCTAAAATAAACTAAGTTTCATGCTTTTTGGTTGTAAATACATAATCCTGTTATATTTATTTTTTTCAGTTAAAATACAATAATAGTATAAGAAGATTATGATAAAGCAAGTGACGTTTTTTCCATGAGCCATACCCCCCGCTAGATTTTTTTATTTTAAATATTTTTTTTGTCAGGACTGATGTGAGGATGTAAGATCACTAAACCAAATCTTGGACATTTTTAGTTTCGGCAAAAAAATCAATACTTTAGGAAAAGGATAATTTTCAACATATATTGACTCTTATGTTATTTTATGATTTTATATCTCAACTACACTTGCATGAACAATTATCAAAATTGTACTGCATATAAAACAGAGGGTACTCATTACAATAAAAGTAAAATCATCATAGACTATTGCTTTATTAGTGAGTACTATCTATCACCAAACATCGGAAACTCTATTATTCATCGAAAAATATTTCTAATGAAAAGTTTCGCCCCTACACCCCTACAGCTCTTTATTCGTAAAATTTTAGGCTGTACCCCCTACGGACGAAAATTTCCATTAGAACTATTTTTCGATGAATAATAGAGTTTCCGATGTATTTTTGCATGCTGATTCCGAAAATCGTGTTCGTTTTGAATAAAAATTTATCTGTGACATTCAAAATCTACAAATACTAGCTACTTTTTGGGCAAATTGTGTTGCTTTGTTGTCTTCCTCCTGAAGTTTGAATCGCTATATGAAAGATCGTGGTCTTTTTTTGAATTTTTTTTATTACTTTGATAGTCTGTATGAAACTACACTAATGATAAAAATTTCACTTTTTAATAATGAATTGTTGTGAAGTTATAGATGAAACAATCTTCCTAATGCGCTGCAAAATAAGTGTACAAGTAAGTGCTCTTTGGTGATAGGTAGTACTTATTAATAAAGCAATAGTCTATGATGATTTTACTTTTATTGTAATGAGTACCCTCTGTTGTATATGCAGTACAATTTTGATAATTGTTCATGCAAGTGTAGTTGAGATATAAAATCATATAATAACATAAGAGTCAATATATGTTGAAAATTATCCTTTTCCTAAAGTATTGATTTTTTTGCCGAAACTAAAAATGTCCAAGATTTGGTTTAGTGATCTTACATCCTCACATCAGTCCTGACAAAAAAATATTTAAAAGAAAAAAGTCTAGCGGGGGGTATAGGTAGCACTTCCTTTATTTTAATAAAAAAATGAAAAGTTTTTGTTTCATTGGGAAACCGAATAAAATAAAGTAAAATAGTTTAATTCAAGACAGATTTTCAGTTTGTTTTAGATTAAAATAAAATAGAGTAAATTTATATTTTATCATTTTTCTTATATTTTATTCAAATGAAAATATAATTGATCTAGTTGTTTTATTTATAATTGCAACAAAATAAAATGAAATTGGTTTAATTATTTTATTCATTTCAGAATGAAATAAATAAGTCTATTGTATTTATTTTATTGTACTTTAAAATGAGGTAACATAATTAATTCAATTAAGTAGAGATATTCCTTTGTTCTAAATTAAACTAAAATTAATCCAATAGACTTATTTATTTCATTCTAAAGTGAATAAAATAATTAAAAAATTTCATTTTATTTTGCTGTAATTAAAAATAAAACAACTAGATCAATTATATTTTTAATTTGAATAAAATATAAGAAAGATAATAAAATATATATTTATTTTGTTTTAATCTAAAGCAAACTGACAATCTTTCATACATTAAACTATGTTACCTTATTTTAAACTAGAATAAAATAAATACATTCCGTTCATTCTAGCATGACATGGTCGTAAATAAAATAAATAATTTTTTCAAAACTCCAATAATTTTAAATTATTTTAAAACAAATAAATAGTTACATTAAAATATTTTATTTAGTGAAGTAAAAAAAATTATCAGATTTAAACCTATTTTAGTATTAATAAATATATAACTTGATTCTATTAGTTTAATTTTTCTTTTAAATTCAAAGCTTATATCATCAAGAATATTTCTTTTAAATATTTTA